GCGCCTCGCCTCCTACCTGAGCGGCTGTCACGGTGAGGATGCTGGCGACGAGGGCCTGCCCACACCCATGGAGGCCGAGGCCTATGAAGACGACGTGTTGGTTTCTGGGGGCCGGGTGGCCGCCGGGGACCTGCTGACCTCGAGCTTCCGTGTGCCCACGTCCTTCCCGGGCTCCGGCAGCGGTGGTGGCGACAGCTCCGAGCCCGAGGGCCTGGAGGCAGGCCTGGCCAAGCAGGACTCTTTCCGCTTGCGCCCGAACCCGCTGATCCAGCGCAGCTCGCGGCTGCGCTCCTCGCTCATCTTCAGCGCATCACAGGCGGAGGGCACGGGCGGAGCTGTTGTGGCCACCGCGGAGAAGGAGCAGGTGGTGAGCGAGATGCCAGCGTCCGGTGGCAAGGCCATGCGCTCTGCTGTCTCCACCAAGGTGGCCGAGCTCCTGGAGAAATACAAGGGCCCGACTCGAGACGCCGGCGGCATGGGGGCAGCAGTCACGGTCGCCAGCCACAGCAAGGCTATCCTGTCCCAGGCGTGGCGGGAGGAGGTGTCGGCACCTGGGGGCGGTGGGAGCGAGCACCGCAGCCTCGAAAGCTGCCTGCTAGACCTGCGCGACTCCTTCACGCAGCAGCTGCACCAGGAGGCCAAGCGGCAGCCGGGAGCCGCCGCTCTCACCGCCACGCAGCTGCTGGACACACTGGGCGGGAGCAGCGGCGGCGCTGACCGGCTGCCTTCCTGCTTCCTCTCCACCCAGGGCCGCTCCACCTCCCCGCAAGGGCGGGACAGCCCCCCACCAGAGGGGCCTGGGGCGCACCAGCCACCCCACTCTGAGCCAAAAGGGATCCCCACCTCAGCTTACCCCGAGCGGAAGGGAAGTCCCACTGCAGGGTTTCCCAGCTGCAGGGACAGGCCCACCACGGGATTTACCGAGCAGAAGGGGAGTCCCGCTTCTGCCTACCCTGAGCGCAAGGGAAGCCCAGTGTCCCCGGTGCCCCCTGTGCCGGAGCACAGGGGCAGCCTCCCCCTCCCCTTCTCCGGGGAGTCTCCAAAGACCGGGCCCACAGAGGAGGTGCCTGGCGGCCCCATGGAGATCCTGCGCAGGGGGTCTGCGCGGCTGCGGCAGTTGCTGAACCCCAGGGGTGAGCGGCGCGCGGAGGATGACGGTAGCTTCCCGGTGCCACAGGAGAATGGGCAACCTGAGAGCCCGCGGCGGCCATCGCCAAGCCGGGCTGACAGCACCGAGGCTGCCACAGGAGATGAGCGGGGCCCGCGGGGGTGCGTGGCCTCGGCCACGGCCAATGCCTTGTACAGTAGCAACCTGCGGGATGATACGAAAGCCATCCTGGAGCAGATCAGCGCCCACGGCCAGAAGCACCGCGGAGGCCCCGCGCCGACCCCGGCCCAGAGCAGCCCTGAGCTGGGCCACCCTCCAGCTGCCGGCGGCCAGGCCCTTGACATGTCCGACAAGGACAAATGTTCTGCCATCTTCCTCGCAGACAGCCTGGGGACCCAAGGCCGGCTGAACCGCACGCTGCCAGCCAGCGCCGCCGAGCGCGACCGACTGCTGCACCGCATGGAGAGCATGCGCAAAGAGAAGCGCGTCTACAGCCGCTTCGAGGTCTTCTGCAAAAAGGAGGAGCCCGGGGTCCCGGGGGCCGGGGAGGGCCCGGCAGAGGACACCAGGGACAGCAAGGTGGGCAAGTTCATGCCCAAGCTCCTGGGTACGTTCAAAAGCAAGAAGTGAGTCTCCTGGCCCACCAGCCCAGGTCGGGGTGCCGGCATCACGGTCAGGCAGAACACCTGGTCCTCAGCCAAAGCCTTCGGAACCTGGCTGAGCACAGCCAGAGCTTGGCTCCGCTTGAGGCTCACCCGGTGGTCCTCCCTGCCTCTTGCCCCTTGACCTCTCCTCCCTGGGGGCTCCAGCCCCTAGCTGCCCCCCGCCCTACTTCCCCAGTTCCCGCTCTTCTCACACCTCAGTCTCTGGACCCTCAGCGCCACCCGACCTTCTGCGTCTGACTGCACCATTTCTTTGGGCTTCAGGTCCCCTTTGGATCACCTCAGGGACCCATCTCTCTGTGCCTCAGTCCCCCATCTTTCAGGGGGCCCGCCTCTGTGCCTCAGTCCCCCATTCTCTGGGGTCCTTGTGTCTCAGGGTGTCTGTGTCTCAGGGGTCCCCTCTGCTTGTGGCCTTCTGGCTGTGCTGCGGCCTCTCCTCTGTGCCTGGCAGCCCCATCCTCTCTCAAGGCCTCCCCCCTTCTCAGGACCTGTCCTCCCCACCTGTATCCGAGGTCACCGGGTTCACTTCCTGCCCTGCCCCTTTCCACCCTCCCGGCAGCTCTCCTGGCGGCCCATCCCTTCAGCGTGGGGAGGTGGCCCCCGAGGGGCTGCCCTGTGCAGGACTGTGGGTGCTGCCCTCACAAAGGTCCCTGGCAGACGCATGTTCACAGGTGCCATCCCCAGCCATGCCGCAGAAAGGGGCTGGATGCGGAGCTCTTGTTCCATGAGGGCAGAGGACAAGGTGCAGTGGCACCTGAGGCCCAGCCCACTGCTCTGAGGGGTCTCCGTGCCCCGTGAGGTGGGAGTGGTCCTTGCCCTGCAGGTGCCCAGCAGACCCCAACTCCACCCTGTTCTGCATTCCTTCCACCTTTGTCACCAGCCCCCCAAAAATCTGTCCAAGCTCCCCACTTAGCTTTCTTGTATCTTTTTTTTTTTACCTCCGGACAGTAGATCTGGAATGGCACATTTGGGCACCAAATGCTTAGAAATCCCCCCACAGTAGGTGCTAGTACTGTTAAATTAGTGTTTGCGCTATTTCTTTTTAAATAGGTTTTTTTTCTTTTTCTTTTTCTTTTTTTTTTCAAGTATAAGGAACCCCAATTGCTCTGGCTGGGAAAGGATGTAAGGAACCAGACTGCTGAGTGAGGCAGCACTTCTGACCGAGCAGCTGGTAAAGGGAGGGGAGGTGGGGTAGGGGGACACCTGCTCCCTGGCGGCTCGCAGTCTGTTTACCAAAGCCACCACCCAGGTAGGGGTAACAGCAGAGACTTTGGTTCGAATGGGAAAGGTCACTGGGGAACCGGACAAGCTGGAGCATTTCTGGGCCTTCACGTGCTCGTTGACGAGTTTGGTTTTACCTGGCCTGGTGCACAGCTGTTCTTAGCAGACCTGGCCAGGCCTATCGCTGAGGGAGGCCCTCGCAGGAAATGGAGGTTCTGCCCAGGGAGAGGCCAGAGGCCCTCAGAGCCTGCCACCTGCGTCCTCCACATTGTGCTCAAAAAGACATCTCCTCAAATGTGATTCTGCGCATTTTGGTGTTAATAAAACAATGCACAAAATATTCCAGCATGTTCCCAAATGTGTGTGTGTGTGTGTGTGTGTGTGTATGTATATAATTATATGTATACAATCACCCAGTTATGTGTTGCAACTTTAGCCTTATGACCTTCTCAGATTCCCTCTGGATACGACCACCCATCCCTGTTGAGTATACTAAAGACCCCTCCCCCTCTATACTGCCATACCTCTACCCGCATCTTCTAACCAACACAGACCCCTTCCACCTCTCAGCCCCTTCCTGTGCAGGCCTCACTTCACTGCCACACTTAGCTGCCTACTGCCCATCCTCGCCGCCGCCTGGCCCTCTGTGTAGGCACAGCCCCTGGTTGCCTAGCCCAGCAGACACTTCCCAGCCTCGGCTCGAAGCTCCCATCGACCTGGGGCTTCCCCTGGCCTGGGTGCCAAGCAGCCACTTGCCCAGCTGTTTGGGCCTCCCTGGCCCTCCAGTCCCAGCAGCACTGCCTCTGCACTCAGGGCTGGACTTTCTTGGGCCCCCTGCCCCTTTCTGGGCAGTGGCACTCATCCTAGTCTCATTTGTCCCCCTTGTTTATCACTTGGGGCTATGCCTCAGGCTCTAGAAATGCAAACAACTGCCCCTTGGGCAGTCCCCATCTCGTGAATAGCTCACCTCCAAGCCAGAACTGTGGTGGCCCCATCCTTGGCCTTCCCCCAAGCCCTGTTCTCTCTGCCTTTGAATCTCTCTTGTAGCTGCCAGGTCTGGGTCCACCCTCTGCCCAGCTCTCCTTGCCCAAGCCTCGCCCTTCCCCCGCAGCAGCCCGTGTCTTTTACAGTAGGGCAGAGCTTCCTGCTCCCGGCAGCACCGCACAGGCCGAAACCCTTAGGCTGTGAGCTCCTCCGGCCAGGCAGCTGGGAAGTGGCCTCCCTGTGTCCTGACCGCTGCCCAGGGTCAGACGCGGTGTGAGGCGTGCCTGGGACCAGGAGACACCTCAGCGCCCGCTGGGCCCCTCCCACCTCCTTGGCCCCCACACCACCTGGGCTCACACCAGGCCCTTTGCCTGGTGATGACCAGAGGAGGGAGCCTTGAGCCCCACAAGACATTTCCAGCTGTTCTCCCCCTCCCCCAACCAAGGCCTGGAGACAAACTGGGTGTCAGTCACTATGTTGGTGGGGCATGGGCTGGGGTGACTGGCAATGGCTACAGTCAGGGGCGCTGCCCCATCTTGTCCCTTTTCCTGCTCTGGCTCAAGGCCACAAATGTGGTCACATGGTAGCTTGCACCCAGGCAACAGATGCACTACACAAGACCCTCTCCTGCCAGGACCACCCTGGGGAGAGCCTGCAGCAGCCCCAGCTGGGATCTGATGTGCTCAAGCGTCAGGCAGGCCTGCTGTGGACAAAGGTGACCAGACAGGAGCCCAGGGTGACAGCATATGGTGTCCACGAGGCTTCTCAAGGGCTGTGTCCTCGAAAAGGGGTGGGCTGCAGGAAGCCGAGGAGGAAGGTTGGGTTGGCAGGCTGGGACAGACAGACCACACTTTACTGGAGAAGGTGGTTGAGGCTGGAGTGTGAACCTCATCTACTCCCCCAAAGAGGCCTGGACAAGCTGCAGAACTCAAATGTGCCCAGGAGAGGGCGGGTTGGGGAAAAGGTGGGTGGAGAGCGCTGGGGTCTCGGGCGGGGGGTGGGAGGGTGGGGGGGAGGCCTGGAGGAGGGGCAATCCAGGGACTGGGGGAGGGGCGCGGGGCTGGGTGCCGGGGATGGCCGGTTGAAGACCCATAGGGCGGCTCAGGCGCGGGGTCCGGGGAGCAGGGGCAGGCAGCCCAGCGCCGAGTGGCAGACGGTCCCGTAGGCTTGGGAGCAGCCCCCGAGCGCGGCCCGCGCGGCCCCCTGGGCCTCCTGCGAGGCCGAGGCGCTGAACATCCTCCGGCCGGGCCGGCCTCCGGGGAGGCCGGGGAGGAACCTGCAGGCAGACGAGGACCGTCGTAGAAGGCGTGGAGGGAGCGACCTGAGGCGAGGGAAGCGGACGGGGGAGGGGGAAGGAAGGTGGAAGGGAGGGGAGGGCGGGAGGGGCGCGGGCTCACCGGTCACGCGCCGGCCGCGTTGCCACCACGGCCCGGGTTCCGGTCACTCCGGATCAAGGCCTGGACGGCCACCTGGGCGGCGGCCTGCGAGGTCAAGGAGGGCGCCGCCCCCCTCCCGCTGGGCTTCACCTGGGAAGGGGTGTGTCGCAGGATCACTGGCACCGTCGCGAAGGATCTGCGGGAGGGGTCCTCCCGTGCCCCCCTTCCCACGACCTACCCAGCAGGATGCCGAGGGGAGTCCTGCCGTCGCCCAGCGGGGCCCTTTCCCTCTCCCAAGACCTCCTGGGGGCGGAGGCTGGTGCAGGGGGGCCGAGCTCTGCCTGGGAGGGTCCTTGGCTCCGCCGGGGACATCTGTGGGGTCGGAAGCTCAAGTCCCGAGTCAGGGGTCCCGCGCTGCTGGCGGTTGGTGGCCCCACACAGCAGGGACCCCAGCAGCTCTGCGCGGGCGGCCGCCAGACCACACACCGTGCGCGGGGCCGTGACCGGGGTTACTTCGAGGCCGGCGTCCGGGCTTCCGCGCAGGCGAGCCCGAGGGCAGCTTGGCCGCGGCTCTGGGTTTGAGTGGGGGCACCGGGGGCGTGGGGACGCCGCCCAGGCCCGTCTCCCTCGGGACGCGGACGTTACCCCTGCGCTCCAGGATCATCTGCGAGAGGCGAGGGGCGCTCGGAGGTGCGCGGGGGGTTGGGGGTCGCTGGGGCGGGGGAGGCCTCGAGGGTGCGTGCACGGGGGATGATGGGGATCGCGGGCCGGAGCACCTGATAGAGGCGGCTGCGATATCGGTGGCCGAGAGCTGGGCTCCTTCGTGCACCGGGAGCCGCACGTCCGCCTCCAGGGTGCACTCCCGGGCCGGGCAGTGGAACCGGCGGGGCGCCGGCGAGGCGGGCGCTGGAGAGGCGAGACCTGGGCTGCCCGGCCGCCGGGCCTCCCCTACCTCTGCACGTAGGGGTGCTGCAGGGCCTGGGCCGCGCTGAGCCGCTTGTCGGGGGCAAACACCAGGGGCCACTCGCGGAGGTCCAGGGCCCGGCCTGTGGGCAGCCGGCCTCTCAGCCGCTCCAGGGTCCGCCCCCCCTTCCTGCTCTCTGCTCCCTCCCTAGCACCACCCTCGGGCAGCGCGCAGGCGCGTCAGAGCCCTGCTTCCCTTCAGGTCTCCTCCTCCCCAAGGCCTGGTGCAGCTCCTGCCGCCGGCCAGGGCGAGCTGCGCCCACACTGGGGCCTCCTCGTTTTTAGCCTGACCAACAGTTTCTGGGCTGGGGACCCTGAAGGTGCGGGAAGGGCGCTGGGGCTGGCTCCGAAGCCCCCGCACTCACCGGGACCCCAGGCGCTGCACAACCGAGGCGCCGGAGCCAGCGCCGAGAGCCAGGAGGTCTGGGAGCGGGCGCCGAAGGCGCTGTGATCAGGAGTCCCGAAGGTGGTCGGGCGGGCAGCTCAGGGGGGTCGCCGGCCACCGCTTCTGACCCGTTGAGCGACCTCCTCTCTGCAGGGCCTTGGCTCTCTGGCAGGGCTCAAACCCCGAATACTGGGTCGGGCGCCGCCACTCGTGCATAAGCACACCCACACGTGCCCAGTCCTTGCACACTCCTGCACCCTCCATAGGCTGCACGCTCACACGTGCACACGCGTCCCCCATACCCTATGCTCCCACCTCCACAGGGGAGCCCCTTGCCTTCTCCACCAGAGCAGAAACCCGGGGAGAGGACAGGGCTCCTCCAGCGCTGTCCTTCGTCCCTCTCCCCCAGGGAGAAGGAAGGACCCCTGCTTCACCCCTCCGCAGAGCTAGTGCCCTTGTCCTGACCCAGATGGACCCTTCATGAGCACTCTTTGACCCTCGTGGACCCTGTGGCCCCGGTGGACTCTGTCCAGTTGCTCCCCGAAACCCCCAGCAGCTCCTCTCTGGGTCCACCCTCGGCAGGGCCTGCCCTTTCCACTCTTCCCAAGGCTTCCGGACCCTCCCCGTCCCTCCACCTTCACATCCCCACCCCCATCCCTTCCCGGGCTGTCCTCCGTTCTCAGTCCTGGTCCGGCAGGTGCTGCCCCTCCCACAGCTGTGTGCTCTGACCCTCGGTGTCCCTGGTGCCCAGTGGACCCCCGCACACACGCTCGCCGTCCTCGGAGGGTGGTGGGATGCCCTCCAGGATCAGCCCCAGCTGGTAAGCGTGGACGTGCCGGGGACAGGGGCCGCCCCGCTAGCATCTCCCCCAGGATGCAGCCCAGACTCCACATGTCCACCCCGGGGGTGTACCTGGGGCAGGGAGGGCTGGTGTTGTTGGGGGAGCCCCAGAGGCGGAGGTGGGGGTGGGAGGAGGTACTTCTGGGGGGTCTCAGACACTGGGGGCATAAGGAGGCCCAAGTGCCCTGGCAGGGCAGGAGAGCACAGGGGGACCTGCAGGGGGAGGTGGCGGCAGGATGGGGGTAGGTCACCGTTACCAGCTCGAGGACAGGAACACCTCCGGAGCCCGGTACCATCGCGTGGCCACGCACTCCGTCAGGGCATGGCCCTCGGGCCCCTCAGGGAGGCTGCTGAGGGAGTGGGCGAGGCCAAAGTCGCAGAGCTTCACCAAACAGCTGGCGTCCAGGAGAACGTTGGATGGCTCGGGAAAAGAGGTGGGCTGAGGGCTAACATGGGTGGCGGCTTGAGGACCCTGGGGTGGGGGTGCGGGCCGTGGAGCTCAGTGGACAGGGCTTGGGCGGCACTTTCTGGTCCTGGTGGATAACTCATCCTGAATGAATGAACTTGGTGGCCCACAGGAGCTGGTGGAAGACGTAGCGCTTGTGGCTGTCCTTTAGCAGTGTGCCCTTGCAGATGACGGCATTCAGGTCGGTGTCTGGGGGGGGTGTGCAGGTCAGTCTGGTGGGCCTGGGGAGAGCGGGCCAGTCTGGCCCACTTTGAGCCCTCATGGGGGCACCTCAGCCTGCCCAATGCCCACAGACCTCAGGTCCCACTGGCCAGCCTTAGAGCCGTGTCCTGGATGTGTGCACTGCCCAGGAGCCCCTGCTGGCTTCTCAAGCTTGTCCACTGTCTTTGTTGGCACAGCAATAAAAGTTTGTGGAATTATTTTTATACTTTATTTCATGTTGCCTTTGTTTTATCAAATGAGTAGAAAAAAGAAAATGCAGGGCTTCCCTGGTGGCAGAGCGGTTAAGAATCCGCCTGCCAATGCAGGGGACACGGGTTCGAGCCCTGGTCCGGGAAGATCCCACATGCTGCGGAGCAACTAAGCCCGTGCGCCACAACTGCTGAGCCTGCGCTCTAGAGCCCGCGAGCCACAACTACTGAGCCTGTGTTCCACAACTACTGAAGCCCGCAGGCCTAGAGCCCGTGCTCTCCAACAAGAGAAGCCACCGCGATGAGAAGCCCGCACACTGCAACAAAGAGCAGCCCCCGCTCGCCACAACTAGAGAAAGCTCACGTGCAGCAGCGAAGACCAGAAGTTAAATAAATGAATAAAAATTTTAAAAATTAAAAAAAAACAACAACAAATGCAGCTGCAAGCAGTGGACAAAGCAGAAACCTCACAGAGAGGGTTCAAGATACCTGCCACCAGGCCTGGGGGGCTGACACTCTCCAGCTCCACAGGGACACTGCCCAAGCTGAGTGCAGTGGCTACTGCGGGGACCAAGCAGCAAAGGAACATACAGAGGGAGCCAGACCACTGGGATGTGGGTGGGAGCATCCTGGGCCGGGACAAAGGTGGGGCTGGGGTCTGAGGGAGGCCTCACTCACCCATAGACTCAAACACCAGGTAAATGTCCCTGTCATTCTCTGCCCAGGTCACACCCGGGAGGCGGACGATGTTGGGATGGTCCCCAAACTCCTGGGGAGAGAGCGGGGGCTGTGTCCTGGGGGTCAAGGGGCCAGACTTCCCCCTTATTTGGCGAGACTGCGCCTGGAGAAGCAGGCAGACGGCCTTGGCCACTCAATCGGAGCAGCATGATTTCCCGGAACGTCCTCTGGAAGGAGACAGAAACGTGAGTGTGGCTGCAGAGCAAGAAGGAAGCCCGTGTCTGGAGAGGATGCGAAGGGACTGATGCTCGCCACCTGCACACCCGCTGGCCCATGAGGTCGCAGGGGGCGGTGCTCTGAGAAATGCCAGAAACCTGCTGTGACTGGGCTTCATGCTGTGCCTTCCAGACACAAGGCAGCAGGGGGGCCACCCCACAGCCCTGCCTCATCCTTTCCCACACCGCTTTCCTACTCACTTACTTGGGCATCCGTCTTGTCCTTGAAGGCATCAAAGATTTTCTTGATGGCCACGACCTCGCCAGTCCTCTGATCCACCGCCTTCCACACGATGCCATAGGCCTGGGGAGGAGGGCGGTCAGCCTGCTTGGCATAGGGCCATCCCCTGCCCGGCCAGACTGCCCCCTGCAGACATGAGCCTCCTCCTTCCTGCTCTGGTTCCGGGGGAGGGATGCTGTGTGGTGAGGGGCGAGGCCCTCGAAGCTGCAGGCCTCCAGAGGAGGCTGATAGGAACAAAGGGGGATTGGAGACCAGAGAGTATCGGGGGAGGCCCCAGGAGGATATGAGGTCACAGATGGGAGGGAGCTCCTGGGCAGGATCTGAAGCCTGCCCCTTCTCCGACAGTCACCCTGATCCCTCTCTCGTATACCTCATCCAGCCTGTCAGCAAATCCTGTTGGTTCCACATTCAGGATTCATCAGAATCCAAAGACTTTCTACCCTCTCTGCTGCCCCCGCCCTGGTCTGAGCCTCTCGCACCTCCAGCCTGTATCACTACACTGATCTCTTAACTACTCTCTCTCACCCACTCCCACTGTTCATCCTCAACAGAGTGGGCGGGGTGAGCCTTGTAAAGTGGTACCGATGGCTGCTACCCTCCCCGTGTCACTCATAGTAGCAGCCAAAGTCCTTGCAGTTCCCCAAAGCCCCACATGATAAGACCATCCCCCTAGAACTCCTATCCAGTTACCTCAACCCTGCTGTTTCCCAACAGCCCAGCAGGTCCTCGCCTCAGGGCCTTTGCACTGCCGCTTGCACTGTCTGAAACTTTCTTTTCTCCCCTCCCTCATCACACACTTGCACACACCCAGTGACACACCTTCACACATACACTCTCACACAGTCCCACATGCTCACACAATCACAAATGCACATGGGCTCACACAAGGTTCTGGCCTCCACTCTGCCCACTCAGTTTACTGGCTCAGGCCCTTCCCCCTCAGCGACTGGATCACGTGTGCCCGGTCTCCCTAGAGCATTCTGTGGGCACGGGAGAGGCAGCCCGGGAGCCGGGGGTGGTGGGTGGGGACGGTGGGTGGATGGGGCACCAGGGTCCGAACTGAGGTCTTGGGGGTCCTGGCTGTCACCTGTCTCCCAGAGCCAGATGACAAGTTCCCTGGGAACAGGCCCACACCTCCAGCTCGTGGAGGAGGCAGGACCCAAGTCCAGGAGTCCCTGGCAGAGTGGAAGGCCACAGTCCTCCGACTGGCCCTGCCCACGCCCTGCAGGTGGCCTGGTCCGGCGGACGCCCAGGCGCCTCCGAGCTCACCCCCTTTCCGAGCCGCAGCCTGAGCAGGTATCGCTGGGCAACGTGACGGTCCATCTCGGCGGCGCATATGCCGGCTGGTGGGCGCCAGGAGGCCTCCAGGCACGAGCTGGGCTCGAACTGTTGAAACCCGTTGCCTTGGGAACCGACGGCGGAGCCCTCCCTGCGCCTGCGCCGGGGCGGGGCAGAGCGGGGTCTGCAGCCCAAGCCCCGCCCAATCCGGGGCTGCCGTGGAGCCCCACCCCGCAGTCCCGCCCCCTCGGCACCGCCCCCGGACCCTCGCCGCCTTGCCCACCGCCCTTCCGCGTGGCCCAGGCCAGAGCCCAGAAGGTGCCCCTCTCCGCCTTCCGCCCCACGCCCCACCTGCGGCCAAGGAGCCTGCTGCAGCCTCCAGAACCTCTCCACCAATCCGGGCCTTTGCACGTGCAGTGCCCACCGCCCGGGACGCTCTTTCCTCCCTCCGCCTTGCTTCTCCGGTCTCTGCTAAAGGGGTGCCGACGGTTAGGGTGTCATTCGCAGACAGCCCCTCCACTCCTTGGGCATTTGGCGGCAGGGGCCGGGCCATCCCCAGCGGGTGCGAGCGCTTGAACTGGGCAGTTGCGGAGGCACCGCCAGGAAACTGGGGGTTAGTTCCAGGGCGGGGGTCCCGGCAAGCGGCTGGGAGAGCAAACCTGGAGGCGGTGAGAGTCTATGAGACTGGCTGAGAGGGGGCTGCCGTGCGCAGAGGTCAAGCGCTCGCAGAAAAAGGAAGCCAGGTAAGGGGGCCGACGGGCGGGGGTAGCCAGGGAAGGAAGTGGGAGCACCGAGGGGACAGCCAGGCAAAGGCCCCGAGTGGGAGTGTGCCTGGCGCGTTGGAGCCACAGGGAGGCCCCGTGTGGCTGGAGCCCAGGGATGGAGACCAAGGTATCAGCAGGGGGCGGTGGGCAAAGCTGGAGGGATCTTCCCCGACCAGGGCTCGAACCTGTGTCCCCTGCACTGGCAGGTGGATTCTTGACCGCTGTGCCACCAGGGAAGCCCAATAAGCATTTGTTAAGTTAATGAATATTATGTGCAGAACTAAATTCGCAAGTGCTTTGAAGGAAAAAACTACTTCCTGTATCTTTCAGCGTCTCCTTCGGCATTCATAGAGTGCCCTATTCTTAGGTCCCAATAAATATTTTTGGTAGATATAGTGAAGAAGGTGCTTCGTCATATGACTTTATATAGCATGCCGAATGATCTTTCTAGAGGATATAATTTTTTACAAGAATAATTTCCCAGTGATATGTAATAGAGAACTGAGCCAAATAGTAGTCAGGAAATGGAGCCTCTGATCCCAATTCTGGAACGGACTCACTGTGTGACAGTGGACAAGTGACATAACTTTGCAGCTCTGCAGCGTCCTCATCTGTAAACAGGAATAAGAAAAAAATCAGCGCTAGAAGGACCTGAAAGCTCTTAGTCACATAGGAATACTAGCACACTGTACAAAATATACAAGAAAGTTCATGGCAGTATTGCTTGCAATTGTGAAAAACTGGAAACAACCTATGAGTACATCAAGAGGAGGCTACATAAATGAGGTCATGAAAAGCAAAGGAAGACAGAAAGTGTCACACACCAGAGAACACTAAAGAGATATGATAACTAAAGGCACCGTGGATTGGATTCTGGAACTGAAAAAGGACAGCAGTGGGAAAACTGGTGAAATTTGAATCAAGTCTGGAGTTTAGTTTATACACAGGCTATACAATGTCCCGAGAGGACTTATGATGAGAAAAATGTCAATCACAGCTTTAAGCCCTTGGTTTGGAAGGAGCCAGTGAGAAAGCGCATTGGAAGGAGATGTATGTACAATTTCATTCACAGGAAATCGGTAACGGATGATACTTCCCTTGCACTTTCCACCCCAACAATGACTTTGTGCTCCTGGTGCTTGAAGAGTCTCCATATCCTGGTGAAGAGAATTCCCGTGCTTGGGCAGCTGACCCCCTTTCCGGCCACCTGGGTGACCTGGACATCCCAGCTCAGGCTGAAGAGGGGGAGGAGGATGTGCTGAAGCCTACGCCTCTGCTCTGCCGCTCCTGCACTGACTGCTGGCCAGCTTCCTAGGAACCAGAGGGAGGCGAAAGCCCAGGCCTCCCTGCCACACACGTGGCCCCGACGCTGCCTCTGGGGCACCCTTCTGGCTTGCGGACATTGCCTCCATGTTATCTGCAATGAGCCTCACGGACCACTGTCCTCCTCTAGCTCAAGTGACTTGGCTTGAAATTCAGTAATTCATTTTTCTGATTGATCAAGCCTGCTGTTGAAGTTCTCCACTGGGTTTTTAATTCTTCGTTTCTATTGTATTCTTCAGCACCACAATTTCTGTTTGGTTCTTTTTTATGATTTCTGTCTCATTGTTGAAATTCTTGTTTTGTTCACGTGTTGTTTTCTTGGTATTGTTATCTATCTTCGTTCTCTTGTAGCTCACTAACAATTTGGCGATCTCTATAAAAAAATGTATGATGCATGTGTCATTTGATTCAAAAGGAATTTGTCATACAAAAATCTCACAAGCGGGTAGAAATAGTTTTCGGTAGCATTGTCTTAGTAGGGAAAAGTTGGTGGCAATGTAAGTGTTCATCAGTATCAGACTGGTTAAATTAATCATACCTCAATCATGCTATACAGCTATTATTATATAGAGAATACCACGTAGCTAGTACTGTGTTTTATATCTATATATACTGCTCTGAAAAAGTTACTGAAGATATATTGTTAAGCAAATAAAACATTTACAACAAAAAAAGTAAATAAATAAAAATAAATAAAATTATGGACAAAGGATTTGAATAGACATATCTCCAAAGAAGATATACAAATGGTCAGCGCCACAGGAGAAGATGCTCAACGTCGTTAGCAATCGGGGAAATGCAATCAAGACACATGAGGCCACGCTCAGTCACTAGGATGACTTTCAGAAAAAAGTCTTAATGGGTACAGGGTTCCTTTTGGGGGTGATGAAAATGTTTTGTAACCACATAGCAGTGGCAGTTACAGAACCTTGTGACAGTACCAAATGCCACTAACGTGTATACTTCAATATGGTTAATTTTATGTTATGTGATTTCACCTAAAAAAAAAAAAGAAGTTACAAGGCTGGGAGGAAGCAGCAAAAAGGAAGCCGTATCCAGGAGAGAAATAAGCTGATAGAGCCAGCCCCATGAATGACAGAGATGGTGGAATTGCCAGTGACTCTAAAAACAGCTGCCATAAGTATGCTCGTGGGCATAAAGAAAGCGTGAATACAGTGAAATCAGAAAGGACAGAGATGGTGGAATTGGCAATGACTCTAAAAACAGCTACCATAAGTATGCTCGTGGATATAAAGAAAGCATGAATACAGTGAAATCAGAAAGGAAAATTATTAAAAAGAACCAAATGGAATTTCTAGAGCCGAAAAATAAATATCTGAAATGAAAAACTCAGTGGATGGACACAGCAGAAAAAATGATCAGTGAACTCAAATACACAGCAATATAAACTATCCAAATTGAAACCCACAGGAAAAAAAAAAACACCTCACTGACCTGTGGGACAGTGTCAACAAAAGGGGGGTGCAGAAAGCATGTTTGAGAAAGTAATGGCTGAAATTTTTGCAAATTTAAAGAAAAAATTAGATATTCACAGATCCAGGAATTTAAATGAAGCCCAGGTAGGAAAAACACAAAGGAACTCGTAACTAAATTGCTGAAAACAGTGATAAAGAAAAAATACTAAAAGTAACCAAAGAAATTTACATGCAGAGGAACGAAAATAAGCATAACGGCAGAGTTTTTATCAGAAAAAAACAATTCAAAGCAGAAGGAAAAGCAATGACATCATTAATGTACTCAAAGGGAAAAAATGTGAATCTAGAGTTCTCGAACCAATCCCTAAAAATGTAGTGTATAGAAAGCATACAGAAGAGATTACAAATGAGAAGCTGGGTACGGTTAAAGTGGAACCCAGCGTTAAAAAATTAGAAGAGTGCCAAACAGGAGAGGGGATTCTTCAGGCTGGAAATGAACTAAATCTGGTGAGAAACATGGAACCGTGGAAACCGCTGGAGCCTTTAGTGGAAAGCCTCCTGCCAGTGGAAATGGCTGATATAAACATCATTAAATGACTCGTGCATTGATGGAAAGAGGATGTAATTAAATGTTCTGTTATATTAAAAATGTTTTCATATTATTGACATCTTGTAATCAAGAAGACTGATACAGAACATAAAAATAAACATAAAATTAGAAAACTAACAGAGGAATTACGAGTGTCAGGAATGAAAGACTACCTTCCTACCAGATCCTTCAAACATTGAAAATAAGGGTTTATTGTCAACAACCTCCCACCAATATATTTGATAACTTAGATGAGATGGCAAGTCCATTGAATGAGTGGGAGTATTCCCCAAATATAATCAATAATAAACATAAAGGGCTTCCCTGGTGGCGCAGTGGTTGAGAGTCCGCCTGCCGATGCAGGGGACATGGGTTCGTGCCCCGGTCCGGGAAGATCCCACATGCCGCGGAGCGGCTGGGCCCGTGAGCCATGGCCGCTGACCCTGCGCGTCCGGAGCCTGTGCTCCACAATGGGAGAGGCCACAACAGTGAAAGGCCCACGTACCACACAAAAAAAACAAAAAAAACCCATAAAGATAAACTGAAAAACTCTATGGCCACAAGGACGGAGAGAACAGAAGGCCCATCGATGGAAATGGAGGAAGGACTGATCACCACTTGGACAGGCTGAAAGGGATGACAGCTGGACTCACTACGGAGGGTCCGAGGTGAGGAGCGGGCCGAGAGGCCAGGAAGGTCGGCATGCTTGACTCGGAAGGCACAGCTGGGCGTTCCCCCAGCTGTGGGCAGCAGGAAAGGCAAGTGGGAGCCTTAGTAAACTCAGTCGACAAGAGCGGGGCCTGGTGGTGGTGGGGGGCGTGGAGCAGTCCAATGCAGCTGCTGGGGGCAGTGGGACCTCTGGCCCCTGGAGCAGCAGGGACATGTGCCAGCTAGCAGGCCAGCCCCTCTTCTCCCTGCCTTCCCCCAGGAACCCGCAGCCAAAGGAGGCCTCAGCCCTGCCATTCTGCAGCCAAGAACGTGGCCCTAAGCAGAATTATCCCCAAATCAGTGAATTTCAGCAAAAGAGGAATTGTGCAGCATGAGCTTCATTACATTTACTTAATTATTAAATCAAATTTTCAGTGGATATTTGATTCATCCATTAGTTATTTTTTAATGTGCTATTATGTGTTTTCTCTCGGGGCCATTATTTCTACCCAGTCCAACTTTCCCTTGTCCAAATATCCTGGCAGATATAAATTTTGTCAAGTTTTTATTTTCTCATCGGTTGTCAGTTGACAGTTTTATTGCATGCAGTTGTAACCTTCACCTTAGTTTTGAGTGCGTTGTTGACTCGGGGTATTTACTATGCATTGAGAAGTGTGGGGACTGTGCATTTAATTTTTAGCTGACCCACGGGGAGATCATGCGCAGTTTGGGGGGCCTCATCCAGGAGGCCCAGAGTTAGGGGGAGCGGGCGTGTAGCAGGTCAAACCCCCCAGGTTGAAACGATTTGGCCTAAACCTCCTGCTTCATCCATCACCAGCCTCCTTATGACCCTGGAGACCAGCTCACAGGGATCGCACCTCCCACACTGCAGAGTGTCACAGTCTGAGTATGGGCCCCACCCCTTCCTTCCCCTCAGTGTCCAAGTCTGAGTAGATATCAGCTGTGTCCCCGTGTGTGTCACAGTGTAGCCCACCGCCCACCCTGTTTCCGGTGCAGCCCCCGACCCTGTGGGGTGGACCTGCTGTGCTCGCCTGCACCTGGGTCTCTGAAGTTGGGCTCCCCTCTCTCCTGCTCCCAGCGTGGGCTATGGACCCAGGTACCCCAGGTCACTCCGGGCACCTGCCTGGGCCCCTCCCAGGAGAGCACCTCGGGGTTGTAGCTGTGGTTGTCTCTAGATCATGTGCCCAGGCTTGGAAACGGGGGTCCCCCGAGGGGGTGCGCCCCCCAGCTGGGCACCTCCTCGTGGCTGTCTCTCAGGGGCATCTCTGAGCCAGCCCGTGGAGGTGGGCGCTGGCATCGCCATCGGGGCCTACGCAGGGCTCTGGGCTCTGGGCATCCTTCTGTTTGTCATCCTCTTCCTCACAAACAGGTAGGTGAGCACCCCTGGGAGGGGGGGCATGCAGACCAACCTGGACCACACCCCGAGGCCCAGCCGCCCCGGTCTGGCTGCTCAGGGAGGACCAGGGAGCCAAGCCCACAGGCCCTGGGCTCCAACGAAGCCTCTCCCCGAAGCTGCGACCCCGCTGACCCTGAGGAGGCCAGGGCCCGGATCACCGCAGCAGCATCACCTCAGAGCCCCAGCCGGCCCTCACGTGCTCTGCACATACACGCACCCCGGGGCTCCCGCTGGCTCCCACCTGCCTTGGCTCATGGGACTCGGGTGGCAGTGCCGCCGTGTCCCTCACTGCACCGCGCGTCTGGAGAGGGCACTTCCTCCAGGGGCGCCATGGCTGTGGGAGCTGACGCACATCGTGGCCTGGATCTGGTCCTTCTACCTGGGGCTGACCGTGAGCCTGGTGTGGGTCTGGCACCGATTCCAAGGTACTTGGCTGTGGAGGGGCCGCCACTTGAGGAAGGGTGCCTGGCCCAGGGCCAGCTTAGGTTGGGGTGAGGGGAGGGGGTGGGGCAGGTCTGCAGGCAGCACACAAGCTGGGATATAGGGGAGGGGACAGACTTGGGTCCTGCCCAGGGCACAGAGAACAGCTGGGTCTGGGCTCTCCAGGGCCTGACCTCAGCCAGAGGACGCACTGGATAGACAGGCTCTCCTGGACCTCACTCACATTCCTGCCCATCCTCCCCTTTGCCATGGTGATCGCCATCAGCGCTGCGCTTCTGATCAAGGGACAAGGTACCGGGGTGGGGCTGAGGCAGCCCTACTGCCAGGCCCCCAGGGTCCCTTTGTCTGACCTCTGCTCAGCATCTGGCCGCCTCTGTGGTGTCAGACTCCCACCGGGGCTGAGCTCCAAGGACAGGGTCTCTGGCATCACCCGAACCCACCCCCACCTCCACAGGTCCACTTGCCCTTGGCAGGTGGAAGGGTCATAGGCACTGGCCATGTGGCCTCAGGCTGCCGTGGAGTGGGATTCAATTAAAAGCAGCTGGCTCCTCCCTTTGCCCCAGGGCACAGGGCAGGGACAGGAGAGGACTCAGCCAGAGAGGCAGTGCACACAGTGGGAAGAGCCCACCAAGGTCCAAGTCACAGACGCAGTGCTTTCAGGAGTCCTCGGGCAGCTCACTCTGTGCTTGCTTCTCCATCTGTGAAATGGGAGCAGAGGCCGCAGGAAGCGCTCACCCCCCGGCTCAGACACACAGCCCAACCCCACTGGGACTCCTGAGAAGGGGCGCAAACCCCAAGTCTCCGGAGCTCAGTAGGGAGGGCTCCGAGGCAGAAGGAACAGTAAGTGAGGGCAGGAAGGTGTGCCCTCCGGCGGCCTGCCCAGGCTTGGGGGCAGGGGCTGAGTGGTGAGGGCAGCATCCCAGGAACAAGCCGGTGGGACGTTCTGCCGCAGCCTTCAAGGTCCTTGCAGGCCCCTAGCAGAGCCTGCTGCGGGGAAGGGGCCGGGGTGGGAGGAGAAGGGGGACGGGAGGGGGCAGCCTTGCCAGAAGCTGAGCAGACTGCTGGCCCTCTCCCTCCCGGTGTCCTTCCAGCTCGGTGTCCCTGCCAAGAGATGAGTGACCCTCCAGACGCCTCCCGGCCGGAGTCCGAGGGTACTGCAGCCTTGGCCCCGGGAGGGACAGAGACCCCCCCACGCCATTCACGAAGGGAGGGGGGAAGGACCCCAAGGGTGCGGAGAAGTATCAAGAGTGACACTTGGCTTTGAATCTGGGCCCTTGGAGGTGAGTTCCGTCTCCCGTGGGCGGTGGTGGGACCTGGTGGACACCAGGCACCGCTTTCCCAACACAGTGAGAGAAAGCCACCGGACGTCCGCAGTGGCGGGCATCTCAGCCCGCTTGCACGCCGGGCGCCCCCCTCTTCCCTGGGAGAGGGGCTGCTCCCGGAAACACCCACGCGCCCCGTGGCTGTCGGCGGGGATCGAGCCCGAGGAAACGGAGGGGACAAGGTCCCCTTCTGCCCCTAATCGCCGCGGGGCAGAGGCAAAGCGCAGCCTCTGCGGCCGGACTGGGCTGGGAGCGCAGAGGTGGACGCTTGCGGCTGGTGGCGGGGGTGGGGGGCGGGGGGCGGACCGGGCGGGGTGCGAGGGGCCGGGAGGGAGCCGAGCCCGGGTTGGGCGTGGTTTGGAGGTCTTCCGGGCGGGACCGGGGCTGGGGGCGTGGCTGGGGCGTGGCTTCCCTCAGGACTCCACCTTCGATTGCATCCGGATTGCGTAATCGGGAATTGCCCCGCCGGGAAGAACCCGGTCTCGAGGAATCCGGAGACAGAGGAGAACGAAACGCTCGCCACACCTCTTCTGGGAGGAGGCGTTTACGAGCTTTAACGCGAGGACACCTCGCCGGGGAATCGGGAGGCCCGGACGACTTAAAATTTAAAAACCTCTGCCCATCGGTTGCCTTGCTTCGAAACAGAAATTAAGAGACCCAGGTCGACCTAGACACTCCCGCGACAGATGTGTGCGGCGCAGGAGCCCGGGAGGGGCAGGGGCGGCCCACGGTGCGGTGTGCTCTGGGAAGGAACAGGGTCCGAGTCTGCGGAGGACCGGCCCGGCCTTGAGAGCAGGCCCCGACCACTCGCAGTCTGTTGCGCAAGCAACGGGGCGGGAGTTGGGGAGGGCGGCTAAGTTCTGTTTCCGGGGAGACCGGCTGACCGCCAACAGAGCTAAAGGTGGACAAACCCCGACGGGCGGCCAAGGTCCTGAAGAAGCCCCCTAGTAAAGGTTGGCGACGATGCCCTGACCCTTGATTGACCCCAAACTCCTGATTCTGCCTCTCCCAACCTCGTGACCCTGAGACGCGTCGAACCCCGCCAGAATCTTCGGGCTGGTCGAGGGGAAGGGCTGAGCTGGAGGAGCGGGCTGGAGGCCTCGACCCATGGTGCCCAAGAGGAAGCGCGGGCCGAGCGCCGGGGGCCGGTCTGGCGCGGCGGGAGAGGGCACCGAGCCGCCGCTATCGGAGAGCGCTCAGTACTTGCAGCGAGAATACAAACTGCTCTCGGAGCAGCTGGACGCCTGCGAGGAGCGCGTCGACCAGGTGCTGCAGGAGAACGCCTTCCTGGACTGCGAAGCGCAGCGCCTGCGCGAGGAGAACCGGCTCTACGCCAGCTACGTGAGCACGCGCGCGCAGCGCTGCGCCAACGCTATCGTCCGGCTGGAGGAGCAGAACCGCGTGGACCTGACGCAGATCCACTGGCAGCGCGCAGAGCTGGCGTCGCTCTACCGCCGGCGTGAGGAGGGGGTGTGCGCGCAGCTGCTGGAGATGGAGACGCGCACGGCGCAGATGGCGCGACAGGTGCAGGAGCTGCAGCCCTACAAGGCCAGTACGCGCCCCCGCGGGAGGGCCGGGCGCGGGCAGGGCGAGGTGGGTGCACGCCGCGGACCGGAGCTGACCCGCGGCCCCGCCGCAGGAGCTGCAGCTGGAGCAGCTGGCCCGGATCCGGGCGCTGGAGCGCGAGCTGCTGCATATGCGCGTGGAGCACATGCAGCTGCTCCATCGCATGAAGCGGTGTTTCCTGGAGGACAAAGCAGCCTTCGAGCGCGAGGCGCGCCAGCGCGTGCAGTCCCTGGCGCGGCGCGCGGAGCGGGAGGCGGCGCGCGCGCTCATCGCGCACACACAGGCCATCAGAGAGGACAACGGGCGCCTGCGACAGGAGCTGCTGCGGCTGCAACGCCGGGCCCAGGTGCTGCACGACACGCGGCGCCAGTTGCTGGAGCAGCGTGAACAGCTGCGGCGCGAGCACGAGGACATGCGGGACCTGGCCCACGTGCACAGCTGGCTGCGCCGGGGCCCCGAGGGCCCGCCGCTTTGGCAACCGCCGCTGGCCAACTCGCACCCTGAGCACTTCGCCTCCACCACGATCCAGTCGCGCGCGACCTCCCGGGCCCCATCAGTCTCGGCCTCCCGGAACCCGTCTCAGGTCTCGTGGCGCGCGGCCTCTTGGGCCCCATCGTTGCTGTCGAAGCTCGCGGTTCCCTGGGTCCCGTCATTGGTCCCGTCGCGTGTTGGCTCCAGGGTGCTGTCGCTGACCCCTTCGAAGGCGGGATCACGGGTCCCATGCCAGGACCCATCGCATGCGAGCTCCAGGGTCCCGTCCTTGACCCTGTCGCGCCCAGGCTCCCAAGTCCCGTCCCTGACCCCGCCACGCCTGGATTCCTGGGCCCCTTCGCGGTCCTCATTGCGTGCCGCCTCACAGAACACCACCCTCTCTGGGAAGTCCGTCCCCGGGTCGGGCTCTTCCCGTCTCCCAGTCGAAGGAGACCGTGAATGTGACGCTGCAGGCGAAGGCGCCTTGGGGAGATCCTGAACTTACCCGGAGGAAGGCCAATGAGGCCAGACGGTGCGGGGGAGACGGGGGTGCGCAGGACACGGATTTGGTGAGTGGATTATCAATAAAGGTGTGACCCCCTCCCCACCCCTCTCCGCTCTGGCACCGCCTGCTTCGCTGTCCAGCATTTCTGGCCGGCGCAGGGACCACTCATTATGGCTCCCAGTTTCCAAGCTGCAAGGTAGCTTGATTGTCCTGTGCCCTGTGTGTCTGCCAGGATTGAGCATCCCTCAACCCCACAGCTGACCTCTGGCAGGGGCAGAGGGAGTCGGCCATGCCATCGTCCTGCCCATGAGGGCTGAAGTCTGGTGGCAGAGATGGACATCACGGGCATGGACAGGTAGTATGAGAGCAGGAAGGGAGTCTGGCGGGCCAGGGAGGAGCTGGTCCACTGCGTGTGGCGGCCAGGAGGGCCTGCGTGGTTTGAGCTGCTCAAGAGAGCCATGTGGGGGGGGGGGAGCGTGGGCTTTGTTCTGGCGCCACGGGGAGCCACGGGCGTTTTTATGTTTAACCTATTGTTTTTTTGTTTGTTTTTGCCGCGCCGTGCGGCTTGTGGGATCCTAGTTCCCTGACCAGGGATTGAACCCGGGTCCTGGCAGTGAAAGTCCTAACCACTGGACCTCCAGGGAGTTCCGGGGGGGAGGGTAATTTTAAATTTTGATTTAGCTGTCAGTCCAAGTGCACGGAGGCCAGTTAGTACGCTCTCCCTCACCTGTGGTTTGCATTCATCAACGGCTGCATTGGGGAGGTGGAGCGTGGGGGAGACCAGGGCGGATGAGCCACCGTGGCCCATGGACCTGGGCCCTGTGGAGGGAGGAGCTCAGACCGCAGCTTTCAAACAGAGCCCCCCCAGCCCCCACCAACCTTGCCGTGGAAATTTAGTTAAATGTTCTGGTTCTGGGTTGGAAGTGCTGGTGGGGGGCTGGCAGCATCAAATTCTCTGAGAAGAGTTCACTTGAGGGACTTCCCTGGTGGCGCAGTGGTTAAGAATCCGCCTGCCAATGGAGGGGACACCGGTTGGAGCCCTGGTCTGGGAAGATCCCACATGCCACGGAGCAACTAAGCCCGTGCGCCACAACTACTGAGCCCGTGTGCTACGACTACTGAAGCCCGCGCGCCTAGAGCCCGTGCTCCGCAACAAGAGAAGCCACCGTAACGAGAAGCCCACGCACTGCAATGAAGAGTAGCCCTGCTCGCCCCAACTAGAGAAAGCCCGTGCGCATCAGCGAAGCCCTAACGCAGCCAAAAAATAAATAAATAAATCTATTCAAAAAAATGAAATCTTGTTACCAATAGGTTCTTTTTTTTTTTTTCCCCTCCATTGCAGCTTTTCATTGCGGTGGCTTCTCTTTGCGGAGCACAGGCTCTAGGCGCTCAGGCTTCAGTAGTTGTGGCACGTGGGCTCAGTAGTTGTGGCTTGCGGGCTCTAGAGCGCACGCTCAGTAGTTGTGGCGCACGGGCTTAGTTGCTCCGCGGCATATGGGATCTTCCCAGACCAGGGCTCGAACCCGTGTCCCCTGCATTGGCAGGTGGATTCTTAACCACTGCACCACCAGGGAAGGCTTATAACAACATTTTAGTTTTGCCTGGACTTTTGTTAAGCCACAAATTAGACATTGT